CTGTATATTGACTTCTCTTTTGTAAAGTGAAGTATCATTAACATAGAAGAGAAAGCCATGGTTAGTTAACTATACATAAAGACTTCAGAAATTAGACAGAACCACTGTGTAAAAGAACTACCTAAATATTCTGTTTGAACCTCAATTTAAATAAGTTTCCTTGTCTAATTAGAAAAAAATACTTGGTGTTGGTGAATGGCCAGCTCTTAGTTTGCCTGTATCAGATAACTAGCTAGGAGTGTTGGCTTTGGGTCAATAATGGCTGTTCTGTACTAGCTAAATAGTTGCTAAGAAAGATTGAGCCGCTTAACTGTTCAGATGACCTACCCTTGACTACACAGTTGCTCCCAGAATCCTTGTGGGATTCCACAGAAGCATAGTTGTCCTCATTTGTAAATTTCTTAAAATAGTGGTGAGAAACATATTTTTATGAAACACCATCCCTGTTTCTCAGTGCAAGAAAATGACTCTCCATGGTGCTTCTTCCCTAGAACATTCCCCTGTGACATGCTAAGGATATAGACTCAGACACAGTGAATACTACTATATATAAATTGCAGGTTTAACTCGGTCTTGTACAGTGAAAATCCTCTAAACGTTGATCTTTTCACTTTTATTTATTTTTCATTGAGATATAATTGACATATAACATCATATTAGGTTCAGGTGTATAACACAGTGATTTAATATATGCATAAAATGCACAATGGGCCTTCTAGGAATGGGGTCAACACATGGAAATGTGCACAGAAATGAGAATATGTTGATTTGAGGGGTAAAATAATTGATAAGGCTGGTCAGGAAATGGTCAGGAAATAAGTGATGATATGTATGGGGTTAGGTGGCATGGGAAAAAATAGAGGATGGCAAGATCTTCCAAGTCTTTGTAAACCACAATAAGGCATTTGGACCTTATCTTTCATGTGTTGGGAGAACAACTGAGGGATTTTAACCAGAGTAGAAGAATAATGAGATGCAGGTTTTTGAATGAGCCTTACAGAGCATGGATTGTAGATTGTAGAAAGGGGAAGGAGCAAGATTCAAGGCAGTGAGACCAGTTGTAAAACTTTTCTAATACAGAAGAACTGCCAGGACTAGAAGACTGACCTTTTGATGTTGATTAAAAGGATCTGCAAAAATATTTCTTTTTACTTACAGACTCTAACATATAGCAATAATGTAGTTTGTAGAGGCAAAGGTCAGGAAAAGGCATCGTTGATGTTTATTCTACCCTTTATATGCTTGCATACATATTTAGAGATATATGAAGGTGTCCTTAAACTTGTAACAACTGATGGTATAGTCATACAATAGCTCCAAATGAAGGTGGAGAAGGATATGTAATAGCATGAAAAAATGGTTATAAAATTATGTGTGGAAAGCATGGTATAAAGAAGTATGTAGAGTACAGTTTGTATTTATACATGAAAAGAAACTATTTTGGAAGGTGCAAAACTAATGTAAGTGATTACTTCTAGACAGGTAGTTGAGGCAGGCCTGTGGGCAACAACTTTATGTGCATTGTTCAAAATTTTTATAAGAATATGATCAGATATTACATATATATTTTAAAATAAATATTTTCAATTTGGAAGGGGAAAACAAGGAAAAGACTAAATGCACATAAACCATAATGTTAAGAGTAGTTATATTCAGAGATGAGATTTGTGTTACTTTCTATTTTCTTCTTTTTGCTTTTCTCTACTTCCTAAATTTATAATTGGGCATTCCTATTGCCATGGTAACACAAAGAAACCATTGTAAACTATGAGGCTTAAACTGCAACCCTCTTGTGAAAGGATAAAAGTATAAACTATATCCAGCACATAGCAGTCACTTACTTAATATCAATAGAACATTGGTGCTCAAGTTACCTGCAAATGATAGTGTAGAAAATTATCATGTTCTGGAATCTCTAGCCCCATCAGTGAGCTTAGAGCTACTAACAGGATACTGGTATTGACTTACCTTTTGAAAAAAGAAGGAAAGTCATCACTAATCATAGAGAAGCCAAGAATCAGAGTTGGAATTTAGCATGGCTCATCCAAGAGCACCTATGGGCAAAACTCACCCAGTCCCAGTGGAGCAGGAGATTTTAGGCCTGCAGTTGCAGCCACATAATTTTGGAATCATTCATCTTCTTCCCCCAACTGATTCTGTGTTCACTAAACAAGCAACTTTCCAATTATAATTTGGCTTTCTGTGTGAAACTCTAAGAAAAACGTGAGCCTGGATTCCACAATGTCCCCATTTTGAGTGTAAGTGGCGAGCTAACAAGAGTCTCTCTTAGCTTTGAGAGTGCGTGGCTATCTCTGAAAGGCTGAGAAAGTGATCAAATCTGGAAGGTTGTGAATTCACACGGGTAACTTGTCCCAGGCTCCAACTGGTGACCTCTCAACCTTACTTTCCCCTGATGAAACCCGCCTCCAAGTGGGCTGTCTACAACCTGAAATGTAAATCCACATTTAAAAAATTCTACAATTCTTGGGGTGCCTGGGTGGCTCAGTAGGTTAAGCATCTGGCTTCTGCTCGGGTTGGGATCTCATGGTTCGTCAGTTCAAGCCCCGTGTTGGGCTCTGTGCTGATAGCTCAGAGCCTGGAGCCTGCTTCAGATTTTGTGTCTCCCTCTCTCTCTGCCCTTCCCCTGCTTACACTCTGTCTCCCTCTCTCTCTACTCAAAAATAAATTAAGAAAAAATCTACAATTTTTGTCACCAGTGATTTTTAGCTGGCCCCTCAGAGTTTTAAAATACAGGCTTATATATGAAAATTTACCTTTAGAAGCTTCCCCCAACCTACTATTAACTATAGGTTCTATTAATCATTGAAAACAACAAAATTTGAGTAGGGCTTAATTGTATATTTTGCTCTGACTCAAATCTGCAGAATATCTGTAAAATGTTTTCACACAACCATATAACATTACTGTTATTTTCTAAAATTGATATCAACCTTGCAAAATAATAAGTGGACCTTTACATATACTTAGGTGCAAACCCAAGTCAAATATAGGTATCAAAGAATGAAAATCCAAATATTAATTGATCTGTATTATTTTTTTAAATATTTATTTTGAGAGAGAGAGAAAACGTGAGTGGGGGAAGGGCAGAGAGAAAGAAGGAGAGAGAGAATCCCAAACCCGTTCTGTGCTGTCAGCAGGGAGCCTGATGTGGGATCGATTTCACAAACCATGAGAGCATGACCTGAGCCGAAATCAAGAGTCAGATGCTTAACTGACTAAGCCACCCAGGTGCCCGTCATATTATTTCTGTTTAATAATAATGTAACATTTGTTCAGAGCTGGCCTAAGTCCCAGTAGTGTCTCCCTCATACAGAGATATTAACTATATTGTGAGTGGATAAGATTTATAAATAAGACTCAGGTACAGAAGTGGTAATACATGTGGATATGAAAAGAATATTCCTAGATGATTTTGATGAATGAGAACTGAGGAACCATGTTAGGTAGAGTTGGAAAGAAGGTAGAGGGTCAACTAGAGAAGACCTTGTATATCAAATTGACAACCTGACAACCTGAGTGTAGCTATTCTGAGCCCCGAGGAACCACTGAAGGACCTGAGCAAGTGTGCATTTGTTCCAATTGCCCAGATGGATATAAAACAATATATATAGGGTCAGTAGGAAATGACCAGACATCAGAGAACTAATTACATTAGGCATCAACTGTGATTTATCCACTAGTTTTTGAATTATAGACTAGTATTCTTTAGTCTGCAAAGAGTAATATCAGATACTAATTGAGAACATAAATTCCCAGTCCTAGTTAAAAGGCCTTTTTCACAAATAACCAGATGATTTTTTATATGTACAACTGTTGCAGAGCCTCGGATGTACGTTAATTTAAATTTTATATAAGAAATGTTTCTAGAGAGTAAGGTAGGTTAGGTTCTTTGAAGAATGCCATATTTGAGGTTAAACAGTTGGCATTTTGAACTTAATTTTAGGGATACTCCTAGAATATAAGCCCCTTAATGCCATGGCCCTTTGGTATATCTTAAGTGCTTAGAATAATTCCTGGTATGTAATATGTGCTCAACAAACATTTCTTCAGGGAATGTATAATGATTAAGAACTTGGATTTTAGGGGCGCCTGGGTGGCGCAGTCGGTTAAGCGTCCGACTTCAGCCAGGTCACGATCTCGCGGTCCGTGAGTTCGAGCCCCGCATCGGGCTCTGGGCTGATGGCTCAGAGCCTGGAGCCTGTTTCCGATTCTGTGTCTCCCTCTCTCTCTGCCCCTCCCCCGTTCATGCTCTGTCTCTCTCTGTCCCAAAAATAAATAAACGTTGAAAAAAAAAATTAAAAAAAAAAAAAAAGAACTTGGATTTTAAAGTCAAACATAGCCAGATTCCAGCTTATTTATCTTCTCTAAATCTTGGAATGCAAAATTGGTATATTGATGCTTAGATCACAGATTTAATATAAAAGTAAATTAAAGAATAAATGGAAAGCATTTAGCAGATTGTTTGGCACAGAGCAAGTCCTCAATCAATGACAATTATTATTAGTATGGCTGTTAAGAATAATGTGTACACATCATCACTGCTTAACATTAACATAGTTGTGTGCTGTAATGGCACTCTACAAGGCATTTTTTTCTTTGGAGATTAATACTTGTAGTAAAATCAACCCATTTTCCTTTTGTGGATCCTGTACTATCAGAACCATATGAGTTTGAGTATGCATTGTGAAAAAACACCAAACACACAAGCCATAGAGAATTTTGCTGTCATTTGGAGTCTTCCTTTTCTTTCTTTCTTTCTTTCTTTCTTTCTTTCTTTC